CAACCATACTCTTTATTATATACTCAGTAAGACTTGTCGGTGTTGCGTGATGCCTACTTAACGGCACACGAGCCTTGTATATATCGCATAAACCCTTTTCATTCATTCAAAATGGTATATTTATTCAAAATTCAAAATTCAAATTAAGACATAAAACATAGCAGCCAAAAGGCTGAATTGCGAATTATGTTAACAATTAAAACCATTAAAAAAATCAAACAGCAAAAGATAAAAAACAAGTACATCGAAAAAGAGAAAAATATTGCATAAGGATCGATATTCTATCCAATTCGTCATTATTAAAATTATTGTTATTATTACTATTAATTTGCAAACAGACTCCTATAAATATTTATGAGATCAAGGAGGCGTTATTTAATCTATAGCGCCACCAATCGTCACTGCCTCAAACGTCCAGAAAAAAAAATCGCTCGCCGAAAGCGAATTTCTTTATCGTAGGTAAGTTGAGCAAAAATTCTTGAATTCATTTGAGTGTCTGAAGGCATTACTAGTGCATGCGCAATCTCGCCTCGCTGAACCTACTGTATTTTGCTGCAGTCTTCCGACCGCAAACACAACAATTGTAAACTAGCTTGTTGATAACTGCTTACATAACTTAACCAGCTCTTCATTTACCGTGCCCCAATGAGGAGCTGGTTTTATATAAGCAGACACACCACAGAAAGGAAAAAAACTTACACTATTTTTAAATAATATTTTCATTTAATCAATGACGAAAAGTAAAGTTTTGAAATACTGTACCTTGTACAATAATAGGTCAACATTCTCGACTAACATAAAATCAACTAAAATGCTGACCATACAAGAAATTACTGTATGCAATTGTATTTGCAACTAAAATAGGTTTATCTAAAATCTTCATTACGCTATACTTGGAGTTGCACTGGAATAAAAATACATCAGTATCAATTCAAACTTAATAACGAACACAGTATACATTTCGTAACATAAAATAGTGACAATTACACATATGACAATATGTGAAAATGGGGTGCCAGGAAGGCCAGACTTATGACGATGGGAGCACCCAGAAAAGGAGTTACAGAAACTCTCTATGTCTTTGTTCATATAGTAAGTTACTTTAGTCCTTTCTTTTTTTCAATTTGAATTATACAGTATTAGGTCTGTACCTGTGTATGTGTAGCCGCTCGTGTCGTGTTCCATGTATGACGATCCTTTATTTTTTGCATATGAATAATGAAAAACCCCTAAAGTTCAGAGTTAAAAAATTCACCCAAAAGTCACAGATGTCCAGCTTACCATAAGGATTCTCTAAAGACTCCATGAGGAACGATTTTTACGATTTAGGCTTATTAATTTTTTTCCCCAAAAATTAATGTAATCATTAGACTAATATAATAATTTTTTCAGAGATATATACATAGGTATCATAAAAGGATAATAGTAAGTTTAGATTGATTCGGCCTTCGAATGCTCTACTGAATATTCTGTTGATATAGTACAGGTGCTAGGGAGAGAGGGGAGGCCCAAGCTAGATGTAGTATATAATATATATGGCCTATGCTAGGCCCCATTTATTTGTCCTGTTTACTGTATTTTATGTAAGCTTGTTTATAATGTATTACAGCCAATGGCGTAACGATGGGGTCGGGGGCCATGTGTATTTCTGAAACTGGGGGCCCTTTTTGGGCCCCGGTCACCAATTTCATCGTGGGATTTTTGATGTGTATTGTTATTCTAAATGTT